TGGTGATTATCAGTTCGGAGATCGAAAGACATTACAGTGGTCTGGCAGTCTGAGCCAAAAGCTGAATGAGAGCTGCCGATAGAAGGCTCTCCCTACAATCCTCTCTTAAGCTTCGAACCATCTGTGAATCTCATCCATTACGCCACTTCTCCAGCGACTCTGTCCCAAAAATGACAAAGGTCGGTAGTATCCGAGCGTATGTCCGCCATGAAAAACCTCTTCTACGAGTAAGAATCCTTAATCGTGCCGAGTTGACTGAACCAGTAAACCATTAAAAGCTTAAAATTATAATATTTGCTAAAACACAATCGCTATGTTTACTGGGATGCCACTTCCGAAGTCACATGATTTGAAAACCAGACATCGAAAATAAAAAACAATAAACTAAGATCTAGTAAAACATGTCTAATACCAAGATAATATTTTTTTAGTTCAAACATATTTATGTATTTATTTTGGTTTTGTTTTTCACTATTGCTCAATTAAGAATCATCTTCAAATTACTGTTGCAGTGTTTGTTCGATTCGTAGAACATACTCGTACCCTCATACTCACACAACACTTGATATTTAACTCATTGGCCGAAGTCAACAGACATGTCTGCCAATTTTCCATCAACCTCATGAATATTTAAGTGTGCAGCGAAGGTATATGTATGTAAACAAAACCTTAATGAGTGAGTAAATAAATAAACAACTAAATTATGCAAATCGTGCTTAGAAATGAAGAGCCGGTTTCGCATAAAAAATGAAGAGCTTTTTTAACTAAATGTAAATTTTTTTTATTGGTATATACGAGGATAGTCCAATAATTATTTAGCCTTCTTCTTTTTATTTATTGGCGTAGACACCGCTTACGCGGTTATAGCCGAGTTTACAACATCGTGTCAGTCGTTCTTCCTTTTCGTTGTTTGCCTCCAATTGGAAACTTTAACTGTAGCCAGGTTTTTCTTCATCTGGTTTTTCCAACGAAGTGGATGTTTTCCGCATCCTTCCGCGTTGTATTTCGAGACTGAGCCAAGTCGCGAGTGCGACTACTGTTTGTCCCTCTCGTTCACTACTCAGACTCCCGGAGGTTTTGTGGTCGATTGATATTTAACCCACAAAAGAGATTCAGAAAATCAGTATTTATTTCACAACAGATATACTTGACCCACTGGTTCTCCAAATTCTTTGGAGGTATTATTAGTCATCAAAGTATACCTCCAACAATGTTTTATAATCACAAAAGTTTTTCAAAGTAAAATCTGGAGAATACGTTGGGTTAGTTCGTAACCTGATTCGATTATGTGACCGTGGTAAAAATAGAGGTTTGATTCAGTGTGTGGTCATGGGGGAGCGTACTTTTTCTTCGCCAAATGGGCCATTTTTTCCACAATTTACTACTGCTACTACTATCTCAGCTACCTTCAACTGGCAGTCTAACAATATGAGATCGAGAACTTTTATCAATTAAATGGTACTATGAGTATGGGTCATCAAAAGTCGACTTTGAAACTCAAACCCTAAATCAAATTGCGACGATGCCTAAGCACTCTTTAATTTTATACTATGAGTTCCTTTCCAAAACCAAAAATACGCGTCCGATTCGGAAAATTTTGTCAGTAATCGTCAACGATATTTTACCACAGCATTGCAAATATCTGTTGTTGTTGTTGTTGTAACGGTAGAAATTCTGCCGAGTTGACAGTCCTTGGCCGGATAGAAATCCGGGTCCATTCCGGTTTTCGTAGAACCGACTGTCGTGGGAATGGATTGCAAATATCTCTTGCATTTTTGCTGAGGCTAAGTCATTATTGGATAGCCCTCAAATGTCTATATAAAAAAAAATATATTAATTGTATTGACTCTTTGGAATCTTACCCATAATTGTCATCCAGTGAAACCTGGTATTTTTCAAAAGTAGTATAACTTTTCCCACGTTTAACTCCTTTTCTAGTTTCGACAGACTTTTCTCGAATGATAATGCTTTCAACTCGTACTTTTGAGCCATCGCAGGAACTCAAATATCAGTAGACGAAAAAGAGAGTCTCTATAATGAAGTTTCTTCAATAGTGGGCATTAATATGAGGTATAACTTGGGCAATTGGTATATTGTGCCGTGGGAATAAAATTGTTCGAACAAAGAGCTCCTGAGTATAATATTCGACATTGAAGCCTAAGAGTCTATTAAAACTCACGTTAAGTGCAGGCATCCAAAACAATCACCGCTTCTCTCGAACTTAGCAAGTGAACTCCATCTGGTATCGCAAACGTCTAAACTTATTGCTTATTGGCCTATCAGATTAACCTCACCTATCATTCCCCAAATAGCTTTGGCGATCTGGTTCCATTTCGATTTCGTAGTCCCAACAATCTAGGGAACGACGGTTAAAGGGTGTTTGGCACGACTTATTTATACTTATCAGGATCTAACGTCTGTATAGATTTGAAAAAACTGTATTCGGCTTACATTTCGCTTCGCTATTTCTTACTAAACGAACGCTACTTCCGCTCATTATAATTTTGAGGTCGTTAGCTTCTACTGTTCTAGTTTGTGGTTTTCCGCTTCCAGTTGTGGGTATCCAATTACTTAAATATAGAACACATTCCGTGATAAGCAAAATCGTAAATTTTCAAAAAATTTCATTTAATGGGGTCATATACTTGCGGTTTTGCGCTCAAATGAATTTCATGGGTCTTAATCGCATAAATACATGGCATTCCATAACGGAAAAAATATCTAAAAGTTTATTCTAATGTTGCACTATTAGTGAACTCAGGGGTTAAAGACAATTTATTTGCTGAGTGAGTGAGTGAATTTAAAAATTTCAAAATGTTATCGTTCATTAATATACAACAGTTCTGTTAAATAACGTTCAGTGTGTTAAGAAAATGTTGCTCATTTAACAGCCACTGCAATCACTTCAATGTTATGTTAAACAACAGCATCGCTAATTACGGGATAATGTTAAATGAGCGTATTTTGTGTGAGCGATTGTTAAGACTATCTAGTTAAAATGCAAATAACACTGGCGTTAAGAGTAGCATTTAGCAGCTGAGCGAATAAATATGCTTAGGTAAACAAAGAAAACTTGAAATTAATTACAAAGCTATCTATTGAAGTTACTCTTTAATTTATACGTTTACGCAGACACTACTCGAATGTAACACTTAACTCTGTTACATTGTACATACTATGTATACATATACATGTATATAGCGATATTTTCTAGGAAAAATGCGGTGAAGTCGACTAGTTGAAAAATTACTACAAAATGTTTCAATTATATCTATATATCGTTTGTGTATTGTATTAATAAAAAAAATATTTGGTCGAAAAAGTATTTTCGTGAATTTCGATGTGAAAGATGTATCTCGCTCTGATCGACCTATTGTTGAAAGAGTCGGTGAAACTATGGAAAAGATCTACCAGGACTGTCACATAAGCAGCCATGACTTCGCTCAGGAACTTAACATTCATCACCAAACAGTTTTGATCCATTTAAAAACGGCTGGTTACAAAAAGAAGCTCTATATTTGGGTACCACATGAATTGTCTGCGGCAAATCTAATGGAACTAGCATCCACAATTCTTTGCTGAAACAAAATGAAATCCAACCATTTCTGAAGCGAATGGTGACAGGAGACGAAAAGTGGATCAAATACGACAATAATGTGTGAAAAAGATCATGGTTCAAGCGTGGTGAAGCTCAACAAATGGTCACAAAGCCAGAAGAAGGTTATGCTGAGTGTTTGGTAGGGAAAAGAATCATCCACTATGAGCTGCTCCAACTTGCTCGAACAATTGATTCTACATTTTAGTGTCATCAAACCGATGATATTGAAGCTAGCAGTCGAAAAAAACAGCCAGAACTGATCAACAGAAAGGGACAACGCTAGACCACACACATCTTTAATGACAAAAATTGGGAGAACTTGGATGGGAAGTTTTTATGCATCCACCACTTAGCCACCGTCGGACTACCATTAGTTTCGATAGATGCAGAACTTCTTTAATGAAGTAAAGTTGACTGCCTTAATGTAATTGTTCACATCCAACCAAAACTGTTCAAGCCTCTAGGTATCTAGTATTTGGACCCCGGTACCTATTTCTTCGGAGAATTTAGCGCTGCTTTGAGCAATTAGCCATGCCAGATTTCGTGAATATATCTCCTTAAATAAAAAAGTTTCCCATACAAAAATTTGATCCCAATCGTTTAGTATTCCATAGTGGTCCGATATTGGCGGTTCCGACAAATGAACATGGGCAAAATAACAGATCGATATCTCAAAAACTGATGGAGTAGATTGCATATATGCAGAGAGTGGACCTGACGGATAGACAGAAACAAGGACATGGCAAATTGTTAATTTGTGCTTTAATTTAGTTAATTAAACTGCTCCAAATTTGTGTAAGAATCTCCAGAGTAAGATGAGAGCGCTAATTTCTGCCTGTTGAAATGTTCAATTTTTATTTTTTTCTGTTGTATTAATACCATTAAATAATTGTGTCTTTATGTTTGTAGAAAATTCTAGAATCTAGCCTTCGTTAAGATATCAAAAGCAATTACTTTTCCTTATTTTGCTTATCTGTTAGGGAAAACGCTATTTTTGTGTAGTGATCCTCGGCAAGTATTTAATGAATGGCTTGTAAAATACAAATCGACCAAAAATTCAGTTCAATTTAGAAAATTGTGTTAATGTACTGCTTAATTTACAACCAGTTACAATTTTCTTTAGTATAAGCCGCGTTGTTAAACGGTGTGCATTTTTCTAAAGCAATTGACTTTCCGTTACAGTGATGCTGTGCGCCTACGTGCTGTTCTCTTACATACTGTTCGATCACATGCTGTTCACTTACATGCTTTCATTTACAGTCTGTTAAGGGAGGGCAATGCTGTATGTTAGCAGCTGTCACTATTTGCTGCTGCTGCTGCTGCTGAGCAGCGCTGTGCCTTCTAGTATAATAGTGATAAACAAGTTGTTTAAGATTTTTGTAGTCAATACAAAGCAAACAAGCGAATGAAGTGCAACAAGTCAGCACAGTGCGACCGCAGATCGAATCGAAAATCGATAAATACGAAATTATTAATAAATTTATTTATGTATAAATAATCTTATGCATTTAGAAATATATACATTTGTATCATAACTTTTTTGTATTCGAGTTGTGTTTTATCTGCCCCCAAAAGTGTTTCCCGCTTATTTTATCATAAGTAAAGTGCACAACGACACATCATAAAATTATAACAACAATAAAAAAAAACGATTGTCACAAGTGTAAATGCGCCCAAAAAATGCTCACATCGAAAATAGCCGATCTATGTTTAATGAGTTTGATTGTAAAAAAAAATTGAAAGTTGAGTAGTGTGTTAGTTACGAACTCACCAGCATACTTTTATTTACGTTTCGGTATACATTTGTAATGCCCTTTTTTTGCTGCCAAGTCTATTTGAAAGTATAATTAAATTATTGTGTTCTCATCTCATTAATTTATTATTAAATTTTTAAACGAATCAAAAGGCAGAGTGAACCGGAAATCGAAAAAATATCAAAAAAAAAATTATAATAATAATATTACGAGAAGTCCAAGGCAGCAACCGGAACTTCGAGATCACGGATAAATTTTTTACTGACACAATGTAAGTTGAGCCCTATATATCCACATTAGGGTGTGCCAAAACACATTTTTTTTCTTTGCTTATTCTGAAAAATAGGTTCCTAGACACCTCTATGGAAAATATTAGGTGTGATATAGACATTAGAGCGTGTCAAAAAAAGGAAATTTTTTCGTTTGGTACTTTCAAAAATGGGTTCCTAGACACCTCTAAGAATACTTGAAAAAATAAAAAATAATTTTTGTAGATCATTTTTTTCGACTTTTACTCTGAAAAACAGACTCCTAAAAACCTCTTAGAAAGATTTCAGCTGTTATTTAGACATTAAGGTGTGTCAAATATAAGAAATTTTTCTGGTACCCTGAAAAATGGATACCAAGATCCATTTAAAGGAGTCCCTCCAAGTACTTAAAAAAATAAAAATATTTTTTATAAATCTCGTACTAAACTATAAGTTTTTCGATTTCTAATGATCATTGAATTATACATTGTGATAAAAAGTAAAAAAGAAAATTGTAAATAAAACGAAAAATATTTAGTTATTCATCCATATTTAATTTGTCGCCTTCGAAGTAACCCTCACTAGATGTAATACACTTATTCCAACGATTTTCCAGTCTTCGAAACACTTTTCATAAGCATTTTTTGGGATGGCTTCAGCTCCCTCAGCGAATTTTGTTTTATTTCTTCGATCGACTAAGAACGGGTTCCACGCAGCGGCAATTGCAGCTTGGGAAACAAGAAAAAATCAAATCGATGGTTGATTGATACTATTCATTGGGCTTTTGGTTTTGAATTAGGTCACAATCATGGCTCGATATGATAGTTCATTGTCATCATCGTGTAAAATCCATGAATTGTTTTCCAATGTTCTCACGCTAACATCTCAGTACGGCCAAATAGAACTCCCTGTTGACTCTGTCCCTCCAGAATAAATGCATGATATACTAAACTACGAATATCGAAAAAACCAATGAATTTTGAAAAAAAAAAAAAATTCAGCTTTATCGGGACGGGTCGATCAAGAACGTGTTTTTTACACAAAATATCCACCAATCACCTTAAGCCTTTTCCAACATTCGCTTAACTTTTAAACGATAAGACAAAGTCGCAAAATGTATTTTTGGTAGAGCATTCAACTTCCTACAAAATCTGTGAATATTATATTTTATCTATGAATATTATATATTTTTAATAGTTGGATGTGGAAGCGACAAAAAATATTCGTTCGACCCTAAAATAAGTCTGTATATGAATGTTTACAGACGAGCATATAATTGTCATTAATCGTGAGAAATATATGTACATACATATGTATGACTAAATTAATTAATATCTACACTTTTCATGCTTTAAATCACTGATTCCACCAACTATTTTAGTCATTGGTTGTTGTCATTTCTAACAAAATTGAAAAGAAAACGACAAAGTAGTAGCATTCTTCGATATTAATGCTTTCTTTGTTGACTTAACGAAGGCATAAGGTGATTGCAGATATATTACATAAAAAAATTATGAGAAAAACAACGGAAATAAAAACCTAAATCTAAAAGTCACTTATTTCACTGTGGACCTATTACAGACTATAAAATGCTTTATTGCTTAATTTGAATTAATTAATACAGATAATCAGTTATGCACACACATTTGAAATCTAATTAATTCTAAGTCAATAAAAACAGAAACAAGATACTCGTTAGCGTATCGGCTGCTTCGAAGTTATAAAAGCAGGTGCATTTCAAATAGGTATAAAAAGGGTGTAAAAATATCTTTAGAATTTTTTACTTGATTTTGATCGATCAGTTTGAAAGGCAGCGATCTGAATAATTTCTTCGAAGATTATAGCGTTGCGTTATGTAGTATGATAGGTTTGAATAGGTCATTGATTTCAGCCACAATCAATAGACCTCATTTGGTATATCAAAAATATTTGTTCTTTGTGTTACCCAAAAACTCCTTAAAGTGTATCAACTCGTAGATCAACGAATCGTTTTGAGCTTATCACAAATTTATTAAGTTTATTAATATCAATGCAGTCGTTAGGCTCTCAAAACGTATGTCTACTAAGATATTTTAAATCTCAGTTTGGCAAAAGCCGGGCAATAGACCAGAAAGTGACAAGATGATTCCACCACGCCTTTCTCCATACAGTTTTGACAACAGCTTCAGACAAAATATTTAGCAGTACCGCGTGTATACCTATTGCACAGTGTGCAGCCAGAATCCATACAATAGCTACAAGATTGGCTTTGCTAACTACAAGTAGTTCGAAAGAGCTGTTACGGTTCACTTTGCGCCAGAAGGTTCCCGCCGTCGCACAAGCTCGCTGACGGTCTGTAGGTTCAGTGCTAGTGCGCAAGAGCACATCGCACAACCGATTTGTTTCCAATAGGATGAAATTGGACCAGACTCGGGAATTCCGATGTGATTGGACATCGGTACAAGTCTTATACAGTAAAAACTTGATTGAAGCCGTTGCTAAAGGGGTCATGTACACCTCACAGCCAGGGAGCTCAAAGCCTATATAGCCGCTTGGCTATCAGAGTGTAGTACATCTACGGTTACCTTGATGCCAGCCACCTCTGCTTGGAAAACGCTTGGTAGTCTGCAACTAAAGTATAATAATGAAGAGCTGCCGATAGAAGCCCCCAACTCCTAGACGCCCTTTTAACTTAGTTATTTAACACAGAGTATATCTTTTGCAACGGCATCGTTCCGTCTACAAATTGCTTCCGTGTGTGCGACCGACCCAAAAAGAAACACCAGGAGAACTTCCGTGATACAGCGGTCTAGATTTTAACAAAAATATTATATAAAGGATGATCTATTTCGAAATTAACTACTTGTTTTTTTAAGAAAAAAACACAGGAACTTCAAAGTTAATGGCATTCTTTAACATTTATATTTTGAAAATTATCTCTTGCAAATGCTGGCAGTGGCTACGTTTCAGATGTTCCATCCGTTGAGTCCAATTTTCGATGACTCGTGCGAACATTTCGACTGGTACACGGCACATGACACGTTTGATGTTTTGAGCCAAGGTCGGAATGGAAGCGGGATTGTCCGCATAGACTTTAGACTTTAAATACCTCCACAGAAAAAAGTCTAACAGTGTGGTACCATATGATCTTGGTGGCCAATCGACCGGCCCATAACGTGTAATTATGTGCTCACCGAAGTGTTCTCTCAATAAATTCAATAATTAATGCGATGTGTGGGAAATGACACCGCCTTGTTAAAATCAAATGTCTCCAAAATCACAAACTTCAATACTAGGCATGAAATAGTCGAGTATCATTGCGCGATAAACCGTTGTTTTTTTCTGGATGAAATGGCAGCCATTGGAGCTCTTTAGGTTGCTCTTTGTTCGCGGCAATTTAGCTTGTTTACATATCCATTGAGCCAAAAATGAGTTTCATCTTCGTTGAACGTCAGATTTTCTTGGAACTTTTTAAGAGCCCATAGAGCGAAGCGATCTCGCCAGGGAAGACGAGCGCCTTCAGTTCTTGCACAAACTCTATTTTGTACGCTTTTAATTAAAGATCTTGACGTAAAATGTGTCAAGTCGTTTCATACGTCAGTCCGCGTTGAGCGTACTTGACGAGGTCGAGTATTATCCATTAATGAATGTTGGGTCTCATTATGGGTGATGACGTGAGTTTTCGTAATAAAGTTGAACAGGTTTGTAAACGTTGTTCAGGCGTAAGTCTTTCCAGTTTAAGTATTTACACTTTTAGATAAACTTTAACAAAAACTTCATCGAATTTTAATTAATAAAATTTTTTTTACATTATTTTCAGTTTGAATTTTCTACAATACTAAGAAGACTATCTATCTACCTTAAAAAAAAAAAACTTCTTCCAAGGAGATACCTTCCTCACAAAGTTCAATCTCTCAAACTAGTAATACAATATATAGCTATTTTATACACACTTATTTATCTCTTATTTCTCTGTGCTAAATTTACTCGTGCCTATCCTTATCGTAGGCGAAGTCTGACCCATAATTATAATTTTTATACTCTTGTAACATGTTGTTACAGAGTATAATAATTTTGTACACTTAACGGTTGTTTGTATCACCTAAAATTATTCGAGGTAGATATGGAGTTGTATACGTTTATGTACTATTTAAATATTCAGGATAAGGAGGCGAGTTGAATTCCAAGCGACTGTCTGTCTGTCGGTCCGTCCATCTTAACGTACGTGAAAGCAGTAACTTGAGTAAAAATTGAGATATCTTGATCAAACTCGATAAAAAATGACGAGTACGTAGATGGATATTATCGTATTGCTGCACTGTGGCCGTTTTTCTTGAGAAGCAACCAAAACCCGAAACTTTTTTTTTTTGGAAATTATCAAGCTTAAAAAATCTTCAAGGGGTAACTGCTGCGTACTGTCAAGAAAGCTGTATGAGTTTTGTGTATATTTTCCGGGTTAGAGTCGGTCGAATAGTCGCGTCTCGGAACTGCGCCAGGCAAGTGTTTTGAGTCTCTAATTGCGTGCATATAAAAAAGTGTCTATACAGTGATTAAGAAAATATTTTTTTTTATATCCAGTCCAATCTAGGCTGTTATTGAAGGTATGTGTAATAAATTATGTGTATCATTTGCTCTGAATAAACCAAATGACTGTCAAAATCATATGTCAAACAAGATCATGTATAACTAATTTGTTTCGTTGGTATTTTACCTTTGCCGACGTTAAAAGTTATGAGATTAATGGAGATGGATGGTCAACTAATGTTTTTCGTGTCGGATACAGTATCATTTATTGATATATCGCAAAATCTCGTGCCACGAGGCACACCTGCATTTTTTAAAAAATGGTATGTGCGTACTCAAGAGAACAAAGCACTGATTGCAACTCGAAAAAAGCTATACAGCAGCGTTTCAAAGAACGGTTTGGGCTCGTTGTTCATTCTCCAAAAGTTGGATCATGCGGAAACAGCAATGATGGAAATACGGCGAAGAGGTTTTTTCCCAATAGTCAAGAGTCAGCCGAAATTTTGAGTTTGAACGTAGA